TCTGATCTTCAGCAGAGTCCAGACTACAGACTGGAGAAACTGAGGTCAGTAGAGTGATGGAGTGAGTGGGTGGTGCTGTCAGCAGTATTGTACTAAACACAGTCAGTATGAAACAAAGATCCAGTGTTTCCTGTAAAGCTGCAGCTTCTCAGTGAAGCTGTGAGAGGAGAATGGTGACAGGCTTCTGGATTGGACACAAACACTTCCTGTTTCTCACCTTTATGGTCACCATAGTAACGGCTGACACGCTCTGATCAAACACTGTCAACAGCCAATCAGCTCTGAACAAAGCAGCACGCAGACCAATGACTGCATTCATTTCCAAGTTTAAAGCAGTGAAGAACACAGTCTGTTGGTGAGGAAGAATTTAGTGAGAGCAGATGTTTGGATGGAATTCCTCCAGTTAACAGCTGGAACCGTCCATCTGGATTGTTGGGCTTGTTGTTGGGGTTCCTACAGAGCTCAGAGTGGACACACCAAGGTTCTTCTAACGAATGAAAGTCCAAACTCAAACTAGGAGTGAAAAACATTTTCAGCAACTTCAATAAAAATCCAAAGATTAGAGAAAGTGAAGCAACAATGAGTCCTAGTACAGTCCCAGCACTGACGTCCCTGCTGCTCTTTATACTGGATGTGCTGCATCACTGACTGACAGCTGATGAAGAGTCTCTGGAAACACTCGTTTATCTCCTCTGCTCTTCCTCCTTCTCTCTGCAGGTGGAGGTGATGATGGTAAACAGGACGGTGTGTGTGCTGAGAGAGGAGCAGCTGTGTCCTGATGATCCAGAGAGGTTGAAGCAGCAGCAGCTTGTGTGTAGAGACGCTCTGACTGGGCCATGTTACTGGGAGGTGGAGAGGAGAGCTTCATCCAGCAGTGACTGACAGAGGAATGAAGTGCAGATGACTGTCAGTGCTGCAGAGTGAACTGCTCTGAGAACAGCTCCACTGTCAGACACAATGTAGAGTCCAGCATCAGCCCTGTGTGTCCCTCTGGATCTGACAGAGGATCATCAGTGTATCTGGACTGCTCTGCTGCTGCTCTGTCCTTCTAAAGTCTCTGCACAGTCTCTGTCTCACTCTGGAAAGATTTTACAACTTGTGTAATTACAGAACATTAATATTATATTCAAACATGTGATCTTCTCTTTATTTCTGAATCTTTACCAAATAAAGAAAAAACAAACTAACAAACAGAACCTGTCATGTCCTTTTTCACCACATCTGTGAATCTTTTCTGTGTTTTTCCTCTTTTCCTCCTTCCTGCAGCTCCATTTTCATCATTCCGTGTCCAGTATATGTGAACATGTCCAAAGCATCTGAGCCTCATGTTACCCGTTTGTGTGAGTTACGCCTGTCGTTGTGTTGTGGTATATAAATCAGGGGCAGGAGACAGTGCTGGATCTCTGAGTTCTTTACTGTCAATTTCTGCAACATCTGCAATATCTAGAAATGCAAACCTGTGAGCTGTGTGTGTTGTGCATCTGCTCAGCCACCTCTCCTCCGGCCATGCTGGAAGCAGCTGTGCGTTTGACAGTTTTATTCACTCTACAATAATCTAACAAATTAAATGTTCAAAAATATCAACTTAAGCACTTCAAAGTCAACAAAAAGCTTAAAACAATTAAATAATATTTCACTGAAAAAACAACAGCTCATAAGAACGATACACAAAATAATACAGAAACAAACAAATACAACTTATTAACCAGGATCCATGTTTTTGTCACAAACACTGAATCAGCTGATTCACTCTTTATGTTGCTGAGTTTGTTTTGTGATTATAGTTCTGGTTTCTGTTTCTGTGTCTTCACTGTGTCCCACGTCTCATTACTTTGGACTCTGTGTCATATTTCCTTTTTTTACTTTGACAGTCCTGTGTTAGTGTTTCCTGTCTCGTGTGTGTAATTGGTCCCAGCTGTGTTTCCCTCCTGTCTCCCGTTCCCTGATTACTAAACTGCGTCCACGCTGCCGGCGCTGCTCTCCACAGCTGGATTCCAGGATTTCAGAGCATCCAGACACAGACTGCTAACCTCTCCCTGCAAGAAATAAGCTCCGCCTCTTCCTTTCCTGTATATGAGTGATTTGATTCTGACATGAGACACAATGAGTTTTCTGTTTATTGTGACTTAAAGCGAGCAGGCAAAGACACTAAACTGTGTTTCCAGCTCTCTGAAGCTGCTTTTTGTGTTGCTCCCACAATCCTGTCTGAAACAGTCAGTGAGGAAAACTCAGTTTATGTTTTCAAGCTCATTGTGAGAGGGCACATTGTGTTCCTGCAAGTGCTGATTTTGTCTGCATCCCTGAGTTTACTGAGCTGCCTCCAAGGACGTATGAAACCCAGTGTGTTAAGGCTGCATCTCCCAGATGTTTCCACCTTTCCAGCACAGACGATGAATGTTCCCACAAAGGCTCAGCCAAAGACTGTTTTATTTTCTGAGTGTTCGCCTCAAGAGATTGCTCAGTGAGCACCTGAATGTTTCTGGGACATCGAACACTAACTCGAACTTCAAGTCTGGTTCTGAAGCTGCACATGCAAAGACTGTTTCTGGTTGTAGAGACCTGGCTGTTCCAGGGATTGTAACCTCCCCAGGACCTCCCCAGAGGCTGAGCTGCTGACCTCAGCTGACTCTGGAACCTTGAAGGTAACTAAGTTTGCACCGCTCGGGTGAGTCAGCTGCAACAGCCTCCACAGAGAGCTCACGCAAGCTTACCCAGGCTGCTGAGGATTTTATGCTGCTGCAGCCCAAAAGGCATCCTGAGCTGGCTGACAGCCACCCACAGCTTCAGCTGCCTCAGCCAGGGGTCTCCACACCTGCTGGCCCTGCATCTGCTCCGACTGGGGGCTCCGGAGAGCCGCGCCAGCCATCCATCTCTGCTGGGGCTCCTGTTTGAGAATGTAGGAGTGTAAACTTCAAATATCTGCTCGGTTTGTCAAGATATCACATATTTGCAAAAGTGCTCCAACGTTTTTGGAGACGTCTGTTACCCACCAGCTCGATAGCTAACTGGGAGGTCGAGGGTCACTAGAGCTGGCGAGAACAGTGAACTCCCAGCACATTGTCTTTGGACCCCTGCAGTCTTTGGCTACTCAGGTTAAACATGATATATAAGTCACTTAGATAACTTTAAAATGTTATTGTTTGGCTTTTTTCAGTGTTTTTTGTTTGGTTTGGCTGAAGTTACAGTTTTCACACAGCTGAATAAACATCAAACTGATTAAACAGAAGTGTGAGACGGTCGAGAGTTTACTCAAGTGTCCTGTTATATTTTAGACAGCAAGGAGCAGACGGCCGAGCTTATTAAACTCCACCGAGACAGCTGTGAGACAAATCTGAAGGCCAGACCATCACAGCCGCTCACTTCCCGCCTACCCGACCTTTTGAGGACCTGGCCCACGTAGACCTTGAAGGCCGGGTCCTCAGGAGGATGCAGCCTGTGAATTTGGACACGCCATGACACATGATGTTCTACACCTGATGTGTTTAAATGAGCTCTACAGGTGAACAGACTTATTAACGTTAGCAGCATAATAAACTGTCCTGTCACTGAAGGCCCAACAAGGACGTGGTGCTGAATGCATCCAGACCCCTGCTGACTGTCTTTTCAGCTTCGGTCAAAGGTACAGTGTCCACTGTGACCCTGAGAGCAGGATACAGTCAGAGGTGAGTCAGCAGTTACAAACTAAATGTTGCTGACATGAATCAAACTGCTGGATAACCCACTGGTCATGAAAATGGAAATGGCACCTTTCTGTTGGTTTTTAGCAAACACAATTTCACTTAAAGTTTGGCCCAAATTACCATCCAACATTTCAAGTTTTCCTGACTACAAATCCAGAGATTGTGACTCTGATGGTCAAAGACCAAGAGGGGACAGAAACCTGGAAATCATCTGTTTACCTGCAGGTAAGGTTGCTGCCAGAAGCTAGAGTAGAAATGACCCTGCAAACATCTGGTTATTTCATAAAAGTTCAACTGAAATCATACTTAAGTCTCTTTTCATCTGCAGGTCAGCGTCCTGTTACATGTCTGTTATCTATCTTTGTTCCTTCAGCACCAAGAACAGAAACCTTAATGAGGAGTGTCCCAGCTGAGGCCCGAGTCCCAGCAGCTGAGAGGCTGCTCACAGTTCGCTCACAGTTTATTGAAAAAGTGTCTGAACCTGTTTTAAACAAACGTCTGGATAAACTCCTGCAGCAGCGTGTTATCAATGATCAGGAGATGGAATCAGTCAGATCACAGCAGAGCAAATAAAGCTCGAGACGTGATGGACACGAGGAAGTGAAGCCAGCTCACTGCTGATCGCTGCTCTCTGTGAGGAGGATCGATGCCTTTCCACAGAGCTGAACCTGAATGAAGACAGACTTGGAAAGAGTCTGTGGAGCTGTGACCATGAATCTCAAAGACCACTGACGGTGTCATTGTGATCTTCATGTGACGTGTTTTTAAACTGCACTTTAGTTCTGAAAGTGCCTCTCATTAAAACCTGGACTCTGATTAGATGCTCAGCAGGACATTGGATGGACTGAAGCAGAGTCTGGGACCTCAGTAATTATTAGTGCACAAACCAGCAAATATGTGAAGCTCCATTAATGCTGAACCACATCTACAGGTTGAAGAGCAACACCTCAGGTTATCTGGGACCAGCGTCGGTTTCCAACAATATAACTGAAGCTGTTTTTACCTGTAATGCTGGAATAAGCTACTGAATCACATGATCAGTGTTTACAATCTGTTTACTGAGGTTTAAACTGTCCTCTGTGCTTCTGCTTTGAGCAGCACGTTGTGCTTCTGCCTGTTTAAATAAAGTTTTGCTGCTTGCTTTCTTATGCTGGAGTTTGAATTCAGAGATCAAGAACTATAAATGAATTAACACCCACAGAGGAGGCAGCTTTGTTGTGTGTTTGGTTACAGAGTCACTAAGAAACACACACAATCCCCCGGCCTGGGTTACCATGGAGACAGTCAAACTTTCATTCACTTCCTGTTTCCACTGTTAGTCTGACTTCACTGGTTGGTCCCAGAGTATCAGAGACTCGTCCTCAGACAGACGCACACAGGTGAGTCAGCACAGGTATTATAACCCTGCTGGTTTCTGATCTGACATCGTCTCATTATTATTACTGAGTCTTGTTTTTATTTGGGAGCTTTATTAACACCACATTTATCTTCATTTTATCTGTGGTCTGATGATAGATGATGACAGCACAGTTTCACAGAAAGATGATACCATCAGTCAAATGTAAGAAAAAAGGAAATTATTGAAATGAAATGTTTATATTAAACATTAAAAAAGAGAAAAAGCTTTTTGTAAAATCTCTTATTTAAAAACGAACAGCTTTCATTGATAGCAGGTGAGAAACTGTGGCTGTGTGAATAAAGGAGTTCAGCACATGTGCATCAGAGCACACAGCAGGGGTAACCTGGACATCTGTGAAGGTTATTAATGCACAACTATAGCTGCAGGTTTAAGAGCAGTGCATGCTGCAGTCAGAACTGTTACCCAATGAAAAGATCTGCAGCTTCATGAAGCAGCTGAAAGATCAAACAGTCCAACATTTACAAAGTGCTGTTAGACGTCCAGCTGAAGCAGTACAGATGTGCCCCTGTCCCACATTCAGTCAAAATGAATGAGCTGCATATTTTAAAAATGAGATTACTGAGAATATTTGAATTGTGACTCAGATGGCAGATCCAGGCTCTCAGCCTCCAGCTGAAGCTTCCAGTCCTCCCCCAGCCAGAAGCTCTGATGCTGGGCTGAGAGACTTTGATCCTTCCCTGGATCCAGAAGTCCAGGAGGGAGAAGGAGAACAGGACCTCCTTCCTGATCTGGAGAGGCCTGAGGGAAAGAAAGACGGAGCAGACAGAGCTTTGAACAAATCCAAACCTCCTGAGCTTCACCTCCACAAAGGTGCAGACACTGATGCACAGATTCAGATGTGACACCTGGCAGCGTCCAGCTTGTGCCGCTGACATTATCTCCACTCTGATACAAGCCTCATTCACTCGCTCACACACGTTCATACAATCACCTTTTCCTCACAGTCACACACATGAATGTAATGAGGGGAACTCGGGGTTCACTGTCATTCCTCAGGATCCTTTGATATGCAGACTGGAGGCTCTGTTCTGTGGATGAAACACCGACTGCCTGAACCACTCTGAAGTGTTCATGATGGACTTCATCCTGATTAACACTACAATACTTGTTAGAGGCCTTTTATATGTAATAATATTCTTTTCCATTAAAGCTCTGAACATTCTCACTCTTTCTGGACCAGGTGTGACACGTGAAGGACACCGGCAAATAGGAGGACAGAACCTGAGAGCATTAGTCACATGACTTCAGCTGCTGCTGCCTCACCAACCACTGGCCCCTCGGTGAGTCTAGAGTTACAGCAGTGACCACAGGAAGTGCACACGTGTGATCTAAAGCTACATGTGGGCCTGTGACGATCAGTCTTCTCACTGTGGTAGACGGGTTTGTGAGTCCCTGTGATGCTGGGAGTGTCCAGGACAGTCGCTCCTGATCGGGTCATGGAAAGGCTTGAGTTAAGTTAGCCAAAGAGATGCGACTCAGACTGACTTCATCATGTTGGCAACGTGTCTGCATTGATAAATTCCAGTTATTCACAAATCAGAGAATAATTACAGTCATTCAGAGACAGATTGTGATTGTTTGGAGGATGTAATCGTTTCCTTCAGGGAGCATGTTGGACGCTCAGTGTCCGGGTGATTAGCTGGCTGATGCAACTACTTAGAATCAGTTTGTGAATATGAAGAAAATCAGTGCAGTCACTGGACAAACTCTGATTCTTCCTAGTTTCACTCTTGTTTCAGTCCAGTGTGACTGAGGTGGTAAAAAATAATGGGAGGAGGTGATCTGACTTTTAGCCACACAGCTGTCTGCTAGAGAAAAAGCCTTTGTGCACAACTTTCTTAAAGGCAAACAGCACCATGTTCACTGCAGCTGCAGCAAAGAGTGAAAGTTGGACTGAGAATGTTGTGACTGTTTCATGAGAAAGAGCAGGAAAACAACCATCACACACCCAGACACAGTGCTGGGATTAGAATTAGACTTTAGAGCCAAATGTAGGACAAAAGCTTTAATATAAAAGAGGAAAACCCAACAACAGCCAGAGCATGAAGCTCAAAACTATACCAATCACCAAGAAAGCTGACAGGCCTGTGACACGTCAGAGTTCAAATCATAAAAAAGTTGGTTTATTGACAACATGTAAAAAACCAAAATAATCAAGTCAACCTTCAGTTTAGAGCGAGTAGACCAATCAGGCACAGCAACAGCTCTAGAATAAGCAACAATTTTATGTATTACAGACAACCTTTCATATACCCACATACATATGGCTCATATGCTGTTTAAAAAGGGATCAAAGACCCAACAGATTACACAAAGTATAAAAATACTTTCATTCAGACAACAGTCAGCTGTGCATGAGACAGAGAGCCGACTACAGTTAGTAACATGGACTCACTTTGTTTCAGACACGACACAAAGTAACACAAAGCCACAAAGAGCAGAAACATCAAAAAGGAGCTGTGAGGCTAACAGCCACCCACACTTCCTGTGATGCATAATGAAAACAACATTAACCTGAAGGATGATAACAACAGAAATAAGTCTAAGCTAACGTTACACAGCGCTCACACAGCGCTGACTGTACAGGCCTCACACAGCTACGACCTGCATCCACAACACCTGATTCTACTGAACACAAACAAGTTAATGATATCTGAGCAATCCAGGGAAGGCTTCCAGGAACGTGAGGATCCAAAGACAGCTCTACAACAGCATCAGTCAGCAACAATGTTACTAATCACTGACTCTTTCATCCTTTTATACTCAATCAAAAAGTGCTGTGTTCACATTTGTGTCTGCTGAAAAGACTGAAAATGTTTTAAAGTTTGAATAAACTGACTGAACTTCTCACGAGTCCAACCGTGAGGAACACTTCCCCCCATGACACATCACAGGAGAACGTCTCAGTGGAGGGGGGGGACAGTAGCTCAGTTTAGGCAGTCGCACTCAGAATCGATGCCTCCAGTCAGGGTCAAACGTGGTCCATTTATAATCATTTATAATTAAAGGGCTGCTGTAATGTTTGATTTATGTTGTATGACACAGAAGTGTATTACTTTGAAAATGTTATGCAATAAACTGTTTCATCAGTTGGAATAATTTAAATGGCTATGTTTGCATGGATAATTGTGAGTAGGATATATGTAAAAAAGTAAGTTAGATTAACTCAACTAATGTAATTTGTCAACTCAATATTACCAGAAATTTTAAATTAATATTAGGTTGCTTAAACTTAATTATGCTTTTACAGGTCAAACTAAATCATGTTGGTTTGTTGAACTAGTTGAGTTTGCCAAACCTAAAATAATAAACCTTAATAATATGCAAAATTTGTAACTTAAAAAGTTGAGCTAACAAAACATTTTTTAGAGTGTGGTAATGAGCAGCCTGCAGAGCTCTCCAACCACCCCGTCTTTAAAGCCCATGAAAGGTTTTCCTTTGCATGGTGAACTTTGGTGACAGAGTGCAGAGGAAGTGCTCTGTCTGCGTCACGTTAAAGGAACCTGAACTCCATCATGTTCTGTATTTCCAGCCTTTACTGGGGAAATGTCTGTTCTTCCTGAGAACCGCTGAGAAGGCCATAACCACCGCTAACATGCAGCAGGTCAGTAACTGGTCTGGGTCACCTACTCACCTGCAAATTTAACAAACTGCACAGACCTCATTGGTTGATTGTGACATGGATGCAGCCAATCATTCTGATCTTCTCGTGCAACCTGATGTTTCCAGGAAGTGAACTTTGGCGTGTTGGACTGCAGCGGTGGCGGCGGCGTCCTGAACAGTCTGGAAACTCTGCTGACTCACATCATGTTACCTGCTCTCAGGTCGCAGCAGGTAAAACACCTCCATCGATTCAGGCTTTCACTGAGCACAAAAAGGGAGATGTTTTAAGCTTCCAGTGATCACATGATGCCATATATGAAGACTTTGTTGATGGTGGGAAGGAAAAACTCTCTTTAAACAGGAAGAGACTGATAGCAAAGAAAGGGGCAGGGAGGGGCAGCCATGAGGGGTAAATCCTGTGAAGAGAAGCCAGTGTAGGAGAAATCTGCTGTTTCTAGTCCCTGTCGGGACTCTTGCTGCTGCATTTTGGATTAACTGAAGGCTTTTCAGGGAGTTTTTAGGACTTCCTGATAATAATGAATTACAGTCGTCCAGCCTGGAAGTAATACAGTGGGGCAAAAAAGTATTTAGTCAGCCACCGATTGTGCAAGTTCCCCCACTTAAAATGATGACAGAGGTCAGTAATTTGCACCAGAGGTACACTTCAACTGTGAGAGACAGAATGTGAAAAAAAAATCCATGAATCCACATGGTAGGATTTGTAAAGAATTTATTTGTAAATCAGGGTGGAAAATAAGTATTTGGTCACCTCAAACAAGGAAAATCTCTGGCTCTCACAGACCTGTAACGTCTTCTGTAAGAAGCTTTTCTGTCCCCCACTCGTTACCTGTATGAATGGCACTTGTTTGAACTCATCATCTGTATAAAAGACACCTGTCCACAGCCTCAAACAGTCAGACTCCAAACTCCGCCATGGCCAAGACCAAAGAGCTTTCGAAGGACACCAGGAAAAGTATTGTAGACCTGCACCAGACTGGGAAGAGTGAATCTACAATAGGCAAGCAGCTTGGTGTGAAAAAATCAACTGTGGGAGCAATCATCAGAAAATGGAAGACATACAAGACCACTGATAATCTCCCTCGATCTGGGGCTCCACGCAAGATCTCATCCCGTGGGGTCAAAATGATCATGAGAACGGTGAGCAAAGATCCCAGAACCACACGGGGGGACCTGGTGAATGACCTGCAGAGAGCTGGGACCAAAGTAACAAAGGTCACCATCAGTAACACACTACAACGGCAGGGAATCAAATCCCGCAGTGCCAGACGTGTTCCGCTGCTGAAGCCAGTGCATGTCCAGGCCCGTCTGAAGTTTGCCAGAGAGCACATGGATGATACAGCAGAGGATTGGGAGAATGTCATGTGGTCAGATGAAACCAAAGTAGAACTTTTTGGTATAAACTCAACTCGTCGTGTTTGGAGGAAGAAGAATACTGAGTTGCATCCCAAGAACACCATACCTACTGTGAAGCATGGGGGTGGAAACATCATGCTATGGGGCTGTTTTTCTGCCAAGGGGACAGGACGACTGATCCGTGTTAAGGACAGAAAGAATGGGGCCATGTATCGTGAGATTTTGAGCCAAAACCTCCTTCCATCAGTGAGAACTTTGAAGATGAAACGAGGCTGGGTCTTCCAACATGACAATGATCCAAAACACACCGCCCAGGCAACAAAGGCGTGGCTCCGTAAGAAGCATTTGAAAGTCCTGGAGTGGCCTAGCCAGTCTCCAGACCTCAACCCCATAGAAAATCTGTGGCGGGAGTTGAAAGTCTGTGTTGCTCGGCGACAGCCCCAAAACATCACTGCTCTCGAGAAGATCTGCATGGAGGAATGGGCCAAAATACCAGCTACTGTGTGTGCAAACCTGGTAAAGACCTATAGTAAACGTTTGACCTCTGTTATTGCCAACAAAGGTTATGTTACAAAGTATTGAGATGTATTTTTGTTATTGACCAAATACTTATTTTCCACCCTGATTTACGAATAAATTCTTTACAAATCCTACCATGTGGATTCATGGATTTTTTTATTTTTTTTTTTTTTCACATTCTGTCTCTCACAGTTGAAGTGTACCTCTGGTGCAAATTACTGACCTCTGTCATCATTTTAGGTGGGGGAACTTGCACAATCGGTGTCTGACTAATTACTTTTTTGCCCCACTGTAAATGCATGAACTAGTTTTTCAGCGTCGCTCTGAGACAGGATATTTCTAACTTTAGAGATGTTGCACAAATGGAAGAACGCAGTCTTACATATTTGTTTAATATGTGCGTTGAAGGACATGTCCTGGTCAAACATGACTCCAAGGTTCCTCACAGTGTTACTGGAGGCCACACCTTGGGCTTATCTGTAGCTGCTGGTTTCTCTTTGTGGGGTTTGACTGTAGGGCAGCTGTTACATAATGATCTATGAAAAGTCTGATTTGTGTGCAGTGCTCCTCCTGATGCTTTTGGCCTGAATAAGGTAAAAAGTGAAACAGGAAACACATTAACCTTTGTTAAAGGAGCTTGCAAAGAAAAGCGTCTGGACTTCTTTAAGTTGCTTGAAGACGTTTCACCTCTCATCCGAGAAGCTTCTTCAGTTCTAAGGTCAAATGGTGGAGAGTTCCAGATATAAACCTAGTGGGAGTTTCCCCCCACAGAGGGACAAAAGGACCCCCTGATGATCCTCTAATCGCCTGAGCCAAGGTGTGAAACTGGGTGTGGGTCCCAATCAGCCAGAGTTTCGGGTGTGTTCATTGTGAAACCTGGCCCCACCTTATCATGCGAATTCCTGAGGTCAGATGGCCCAGGATGTGAGTGGGCGTTAAGGCGTCTGGGAAAGGATCTCAAAACTGGATTATAGATGGCAGAGAGTTGGTGTCGTAAACCCCCGCCTCTGTTCAAAGATGGTCGCTCACAGTGGACATAGATGGCTTCTTTCACTCCTCTTTCAAACCATCTGTCCTCTCTGTCCAAAATGTGAACATTGGCATCCTCGAAAGAGTGTCCTTTATCCTTAAGATGCAGATGGACTGCTGAGTCTTGTCCTGTGGAGGTGGCTCTTCTTAGTGTTGTGCCATGCGCTTGTGAAGTGGCTGTTTGGTCTCTCCAATGTAGAGGTCTGAGCATTCCTCGCTCCACTGTACAGCATACACCCCATTGTTAAGTTTGTGTTTTGGCGTTTTGTCTTTCGGGTGAACCAGTTTTTGTCTGAGCGTGTTGCTGGGTCTGAAGTACACCGGGATGTCATGCTTGGAGAAAACTCTCCTGAGTTTTTCTGATACACCGGCTACATAGGGGATGACAATGTTGTTGCGTCTGTCCTTCTTATCCTCCCTCGCTGGTGTCTGGTCTTCTTTTCTGTGCCTCTTTGCTGACTTTAAGAACGCCCATTTAGGATAGCCGCACGTTTAGAGTGCTTCCTTTACATGTGTGTGTTCCTTCTTTTTTCCTTCAGGCTTAGAGGGAACATGTTCTGCCCGGTGGTGTAGGGTCCTAATTACTCCAAGTTTGTGTTCCAAAGGGTGATGGGAGTCAAAGAGGAGGTACTGGTCCGTGTGTGTGGGCTTCCGGTAAACGTCGATGTTGAGTTTGCCGTTCTCTTCAATGTGCACAGCGCAGTCCAGGAAAGGCAAACAGTTGTCCTTTGTGTCTTCCCTGGTGAACCTGATGTTTTTATCCACAGCGTTAATGTGCGTAGTGAAGGATTCCACTTCTTGTGTCTTGATTTTGACCCAGGTGTCGTCCACATATCTGTACCAGTGGCTGGGTACTCTTCCTTTGAAAGAGCCAAGAGCCTTCCTTTCCACTTCCTCCATGTAAAGGTTGGCTACAATAGGTGACACGGGGGAGCCCATGGCACAGCCATGTTTTTGTCTGTAAAAGCCTTCGTTGTACTTGAAATATGTAGTGGTGAGGCAGAGGTCTAACAGTGTGCAGATCTGATGGGGTGTGAAGTTGGTCCTGTCCTCCAAGGAGCTGTCTTCTTGTAGTCGTTTTCTGACAGTCTCCACGGCCTCCATGGTGGGTATGCAAGTGAAGAGAGAGACTACGTCAAAGGACACCATGGTTTCATCTGGATCCAGGGTAAGTTTCTGGACCTTGTTGGTGAAGTCGGTGGAGTTCTTGATGTGGTGTGGGGTGTTCCCCACGAGAGGAGCAAGGATGGTAGCAAGGTGTTTAGCAATGTTATAAGTGGCTGAGTTTATGCTACTGACTATGGGTCTGAGTGGGACAGCTTTCTTGTGGATTTTAGGAATGATGCAGGGTATGGCATCCCCTGGGTAAAGGCGGTGATATGTAAGGCGGTCAATAATTTTGTCCTTTTCAAAGTCTTGAAGGCAAGCTATAACTTTCTTTTTGTAGCTGCTTGTGGGGTCTCGCTTTAGGGCTTCGTAGGTATTGTTGTCACTGAGGAGAGTAGTGATCTTTGTATGGTAATCTGTAGTGTTTAGGACCACGGTGCATCTTCCCTTATCAGCTGGTAAAACAGTGATGTTGTGGTCTTTGCTCAGGGAAGCGACGGCCTTCTTTTCCTGTATTGTGAGGTTGGATGGAGGGACTTTGGCACTGGAGAGCGTGGCTGAGACTTTCATCCTGATTTGCTCTGCTTCTGTCTGTGATAATTTATTAATCCGTATGGCAGATTCTGTGGCTGTGATGAGGTCCACTATGGGCAACTGTTGTGGAGAAATGGCAAAATTGAGTCCTTTGGCTAATACTCTCTTTTCAGGTTCAGTGAGAATCCTGTCTGAAAAGTTCTTAACCCATTTCTCCTGACTGACTTCAGGTGTGTTTTCTTCTCTGGGTTGTGTAGGTTCAGGATGAGGAGTGTGTGTTTTTGAAAGCAAGGTGTGAAATTTCCTGCGTTGTCTTTCTTTTCCTTTAGAGTGTTGGGCCCGCTGAGCCTTGTCCACAAACTTGTAAACCTCTTAGAGATTGGAGAGGGTAGAAGGATTTCCAGTTCCTGCAGGGTCTGGCTGATCTTGATCTGGAGGGCATCTATGGTGAAATGGACCTGTCTTATCCTTTCACTTAAAAGGTGATTTTGTGCTCTCTGTAGAATCAAGTCTGCTCTGTATCCCCTGACAGTGGATCCAAGGCGCAGGCTCTTAGGAACAACTCTGCTTTGTCTACATCTTAGGTTGAAACGGAGATGGTTCCTATAATCCGCTAGTTTCCTTGATTCCCTTTCATACTCCCGCACCAGTTGAAGGGTGTTCCTCCCAAAATGTACGGCAATATGTCTGTGAAGGTGCAGCGTATGTCTGTACAGTGCAGCGAGGAATGCTCAGACCTCTACATTGGAGAGACCAAACAGCCACTTCACAAGCGCATGGCACAACACAGAAGAGCCACCTCCACAGGACAAGACTCAGCAGTCCATCTGCATCTTAAGGATAAAGGACACTCTTTTGAGGATGCCAATGTTCACATTTTGGACAGAGAGGACAGATGGTTTGAAAGAGGAGTGAAAGAAGCCATCTATGTCCACTGTGAGCGACCATCTTTGAACAGAGGCGTGGGTTTACGACACCAACTCTCTGCCATCTATAATCCAGTTTTGAGATCCCTTCCCAGACGCCTTAACGCCCACTCACATCCTGGGCCATCTGACCTCAGGAATTCGCATGATAAGGTGGGGCCAGGTTTCACAATGAACACACCCGAAACTCTGGCTGATTGGGACCCACACCCAGTTTCACACCTTGGCTCAGGCGACTAGAGGATCATCAGGGGGTCCTTTTGTCCCTCTGTGGGGGGTTACTCCCACTAGGTTTATATCTGGGACTCTCCACCATTTGACCTTAGAACTGAAGAAGCTTCTCGGATGAGAGGTGAAACGTCTTCAAGCAACTTAAAGAAGTCCAGACGCTTTTCTTTGCAAGCTCCTTTGACTACGATGACCTGGATAACTGAGAACCTTCACAGACATTAACCTTTGTTGTTATTGCTGACTTTTGACCCTGTGCCCAGTCGTGGGGCTCTGTGCAGGATGGCGCCTCGTGTCCACACGTCCAGTCCTTTCTGTCCTCGGTGGATCAGTTTGTCAGTAATCTGAGCTCAGCCCGACTGAACATGGAGAGAAAGTTACAGCTGCAGCACGTGGAGCTTCCTGACGCCATCAGCCAGCTGAGCAGCCCTGCAGACTACAGAGCAGCAGGTATGAAGCTCAAGCTGTTCACATCTCACACAAACAATAAGACTGTTGGAAATACAGGAAACATCGTTTAAAGGTTTAAAAATCAACTCTCAGGTAAATCAAACCAGTTTATCTGTGGAAGCTGAAGGAAGAATCTGACCTGAGACGATGGCTTCTTTGAAATAATGAATCCGTGTTCACGTGTGTTTGGAGGAACTTGTGTGTTTCACTCTCAGCTAATAACAGTGAGCTGGTGGAGTGTCTGGAGGAGGTGTTGACCCTGTGGACCAATCAAATCAAGCAGGTACTGACGGAGAGCAAGCAGATGAGAAAAGAGGCCGACGACATCGGGCCGTCGGTCGAGCTGGAGCACTGGAAGAGCCGCACGGTGACCTTCAACAGGTAGACGTGTCCTCTCAGCTGGATCTCCTGTAGCGTCAGCATTTACAGGTTTCACTTTAAACTCAGTTTATCAAACATGATCTGACGTCTGTGGACAGAAGCTCCTCAGACCTGGAACAGTTTAGTCTCCACTCTGAGACTTCAGGACAAAACCACTTTTACACAATATAACTTTCTGTTATTTCTCTTTCTGCTCTTTAAAGTTGAAATGTTCCAAAATATTCATGTGTTTGTTTGTATAATAGTTTTTAACCCTTTCATGCATGAATTATGATGACATCAATCAGGAGTCTTTCTTTAGTATTTTTATTCATCTTTAGGGATGAAAAAAGATTTTCGAACTTCATTTTCTTAAACATGTATTTTTCCATCTTGGTTTGAAGAAATGTTTTGCGCACTTACACTGGCTGACCAGTAGGTGGCAGGTATGGAGCGACACATCAGAGTCCAATATAGAGTTTATGTGCAAGTACGACATCAACACTGCCACGAATACAAGCAAACAGCCTTTGAACAGCTGTGTGTGTGTGTGTGTGTGTGTGTGTGTGTGTGTGTGTGTGTGTCAGTCTGCTGGAGGAAGTGAAGGGTTCTCAGGTGAAGAGGTCTCTGGGGGTCCTGCAGGTGGCTCAGTCTCGGTGCCTGCATGCCTTCAGTTCACAGCTGTTGTCTCGACGATGCTGACATCATCACTGATCGATTTATTGATTTATCAGGACAGAGACATCACTGTGGTGGCCAACGAGGCAAAGGACAACGTCAAGTATCTTTACACCCTCAACAAGTTCTTTGGATCTGTGGAAAAATCCACTCCTGTGAGAAAAACACTTTCTGTATAAAACCGTCTGCAGCTGTTTGAGTCCTTCATGATTGTGAGGAACAGAAAACAGTGAAGACATCGTCACACATCATTCACAGAGAGGGTGTAGTCACAAGTCACAGCTGAGACAAAGGCCTGTCTGTAACTTAAGAAGAAGAAGAAAGAATTAAAGTGACTGTTTAAAAACTAAAGACTTCTTCTTTTCTTTTCTCAGTTTCAGACTTTTAAAAATGTTTAAAAAGATCAAAGAGACAAACAGGTTTCAATAGGACAGAGATCACAGCTCAGTCTGAGATGTTCCAGCTCTGATTTATCAGCAGTATTTCTCTGATTGATCTTTTTTATTAGTTTGTATTTTCTGTGATGGTGAATTTGTCAGTTTGTGCTGATGAGTCGGGTGTTTCACCTCCACCAGCTTCTTTTTTAATGGTTTTTATTATTTCTTCTTTTGCATCGTGTTCTGATGACAAACCGTTTTCTTGTTACTGGATCAGATATGGTGGATACAGGATTCTCCAGCTCAGCCTGAATGTGCATTTATTTGATCTCTACATGTCAGTAATGAGGCTGCTGTCTGTTCCTGCTGTGTCAGCAGCTTTGTTTCTCACACTGAAGCTCGTATCAGTCACCGGACAAACCGTCTCTCATCCTCCGTCTTCCTTTTCTCCTGGCTCCACAGACCAGGATGCTGGAGCACATTCCCAGTCTGATGAACGGCATCAAGATGATCCACGTGGTGTCCCAGTACTACAACACCTCAGAGAGGATGAGCTCACTGCTGCTCAAGGTCACCAACCAGATGATCAGCACCTGCAGGAGCTACCTGCTTCAGGGCATGAGGCGTGTCTGGGAGCACAGCAGGTACCGCAGCACACCTGAAACTTACATTAGACTTAAACTCCTGTTCAGATCGTCATAGAGTTTAGACTCAGACTAACAAATAGACTCAGTAACATGTGTGTGTGTGTGTGTGTGTCAGGCCGGTGCTGCTGCAGAGAATCTCTGACTGCTGTAATCTGAATGCGGCGTATCAGCGAAGCTTCCACAGCGTCAGAGACAAACTGAGAGAAAACCCTGAGAACAGACAGTTTGACTTCAGGTGATCAGTAACTGACTCTGAGTCAGAGCGTGTCAGCAGCGTCACGCTAACCTTTACACACGTGTGTGTGATTTCAGTGAGAACTACATCTTCGGGAAGTTTGACTCTTTCTGCCGCCGTCTGGAGAAGATGGCTGACATGGCGTCCACGCTGGAGAACCTGGCTGCTCTGCAGAGCATGAAGGTGGATGATTGTCAGATTAGAAACAAGTGACTCCATCAGATATTCATCAATGCACAATAATAATTATAATAAGACATTTATAATATAAAAATGGTCAAATTAAAGCCAATGCAAAGCTACAGTGATGAATGGACATTTGTAATGATTTTGTATAAATGTATTTCCTCCTTTTATTATTTATTAATCGTGTCAAAAGTCTATTTTCCAGTTCTTCCATTTCAGTGTGACAGAAATGAGACGGATTCAAACTGAGCTCAGGTGGAGGGCGTGGAGAAGATCTGTGTTCGCTACCAGAACATCGTCTCCACAACTGAATCCAAGACCTGTGACGTCCTGGATCAGCGCAAACTGGAGGTGACTTCAAGGGGAAACAATAGAATAAGATAAACAGAATAACATACGATACAAAATAGAAAAATACTATATCTGTCATTTATGACAATAATCATTGAATTATACTTTGAATCTCAGCGTTTATGTGAATCCTAGTTCGGTCTTCACAGTATTGGCCAACAATAACAATGATTGATTGGATCATTGCTCACATTTATTTTTTAAAATCAGCTGAGAAAAGATCTAATTTCAGTTTTTCATCAGAGGTGAAGGTCACCGACTGCCAGACAGTCACGGGACTTACAAAGATACAGAAGACTTGATTTTCAGTCTCATCATGTGCATCCCTGTGCTCTGCTGCCAAAACTGAATCTTGATTTCTTTGAAAATTCTGAAATGATTCTGATCATTCTCCACTTTTATTATTATGGTCTGTGTGTCAGATTGGGCCTGAATATTATTCCAGATATGCTTCCTGACAGAAATCTTCTTCTTTTCTTAATCCTGTGCTTTTGGAGCAGCTTTGTGCTTTCAGTTTCTGTAAAAGTGTGTTAAGAAAACAAAAAAGGCTCTACAGTGTGTTTGTGGTTTGGTGTTTTAATGGTTTCTTTTTCTTTGTAATAATAGAAAAGCTGGTGCTCAGAGGAAGAGGGCGGCTTTACTTGTGTCTGTTAGGATGCCTGGGTCGTTGACCCAGGGGTTTTGAGTTTATTATATTATTTATACTTTCTAGTTTTTGGTTTCTTTGAGTTCTGTCTTATAGTTTATGTCTCTGTCTTCTCTAGCTGCTCTGTCTCCCCTGTCAGCTGTATCCCCTTGTCTAGTTCGCGTCTCTGTGTGTCCTTAGTGGCTATATCCCCGTGTCCAGTCAGTGTCTGTGTCTGCCCTGGTCCCACGTCTCTGTTCCCTCTGTTGCAGTGCGTGCGAGTCTGTGTCTTTGTTCTGTCTGTGTTATGTGTTTCCTGTTTTACTTTGAAAGTCCATGTCTGATGTTAATGTGTCTGGTTTTGCTTCCCCTTGTCTCGTTAGGCCTGATTTGCCCCAGCTGTGTTTCCCTCCTGTTACTCATTCCCTGATTGCTCCTTCTGTGTATTTAAGCCCTGTGTTTCTCTGTGTCCGTGTCGTGATCTACTGTTTTCCTAGCTGTGTGTTCTGTCATTCCTCTAGTTTAAGTTTTTTCAGTTATGTTATATTTTGAGTCTTAAATTAAAGCCTTTTTGAGTTCACTTCTGTCTCCAGAGTCTGCACCTTGGGTCCTATTCCTGCCTGCACACAGCCACACCTAACAGTGTCAGTGACAGAAATGAAAAGAAGCTGAAATGAGTGAGAAGGACGATGAAGGAAACATCTGTGCTGTGTCTGCTCTGTAAGGAGAATCTCTGTGTTTCTTTGAATTCTTGCACTTTGACTGTCTGCTCTCCTGATAACTGATGATGGAGGAGAAGACATGAAAAACAAAACAGCTGAATAGAAACTACTGACTCTGCAGGACCCGTTGTCCTCAGTCACCATGTTGACCTCAAAACGTCTCAATCACAAATGTGGTGTTACAGATTTCACCAATTACAAGCCAAATGTTGTGTATTACAAATGTGTTATTATCATGTAATTGTAAGTTTGTATGCTGTGTTATCATCACATCCTAAAATAAGAGCTTTTTAACACCTCAGCAGAGATCAGGTGCTGTTGTTCTTTTGAACACTTCACCTTTTAAAACACTGAAAATGATAAGAAATGAGAGGCAGAGTGAAGAGAAGGGGCTCAACACACATCCTAGGGGAGCCTGTGTTCAGTGTTCTTGTGCTGGAGGTGTTGCTGCTGACCTGTCTGCTGTCTTCCTCTCAGGAAATCCAGCAGCCAGTTACACAGCGAGGTGCTGATGCCCAGCAGATCCAGTTTGTGAATGAGTTGCTGGGGAAAGATGGTGTTGAACACTGAAGTCCGTGAACATCATTCTAACATATGAGTGTCCAGATGTGTGAGGGCTGAATAAGAGTACAGTTGAAATGGCATCCTTGGTCGAGAGGTTTGACCGGTATGTGACTGACATGGATCCAGGTTGGAGGGAAGTTTTGATTTGATGCATGACTAACTGTTCACAGCTCTTCATAATGATGGAGGTGAGTGGGACCAGACAGTTGTCCTTCATGCAGGAGGGACACGACTACTTCAGTACAGGAATAATGGTGGAGAGTTTGAGGCTTGTGAGAACAACAGCCTGACTCAGTGAAGGATTAAAGATGTCTGTAAGTATGATTGGACTACAACAACCAACATTCATCAGTCCTATAAATGAGATTGTCACGGTCTGTCTGACAGACTGTGGGGATATGGGGGAATGAGGACCCAAAACGCATGGTTCTGCGATGCAAACGGTGCACTTTATTTACAGTGAAGGTAACAGATGCACAATAAATCCCCTTTGCTCCCTAGACTCCCATGTGTGTGTTCCCCTCCGACGTCCGTGCTCGTGCTCCCGGCAGTTGTGTTTCTGCACACCCTGTGCGTGCTGCCCTTCTGGTCCCTCGTTCCACCTGCAGGACAATACAGAAGCAGCCGTTAAACACTGAACCCGCGCGCACACACGATCCGCACTTCCTAATACTACACACTGACTTGGAGTCTTAGCTTAATGATCCCGCGCCAGTGGGAGCTCCAACACTCTCCTAAGTAGCTCCCCCGACGAGCCCTGATCACCAACAGGTGTGTGGCAGGAACTTCAGGTGTGGCCAGTCCTCCTGCAGGGCCACACCCATCAGGCCTGCATGTGGCTGTTCTCCATCCTCCAGCCACACATGTACACACCCTGCCTCTACATATGAGTGGAACACCGAACACAGCATAGTGCAGAAAAACACACATCCCCAAATAACAACAACAACAATAATAATAATAATAATAATAATAATCCATCCTGCTCACGGACCCCCGAGTCCTCCAGAGCCGGGTCCGTGACAGAGATGGTGATATTCACACAGGTCACTTTTTGATGGGCGGAGCAATGTAATTACGCACTGACTGATTTGCGCGTTTAGAATTTACACATTTGGTTTTTAAATGCTTTTCTTGTTTGTTTCACTACTAATATAGCTACTTTTGGATTATTTATGTATTTATTTATGTGAGATGTTCTTTTTTTTATTTTGTATTTGTTATTTGGTCGAGTGTGTGAGACAGATAAAGACTGGAACGGCCTGTAAACACAGTTATAGTGGAAAAAAGAAGCCAGTTTCTCTGTTTCCCTCCCACTGTGGTGTTTTTGTTCTAAATTTGAATCAAATGTTTTGGGTTTTTCTGAACACAGACTGCTGCCTGTGCACTTGTGCCTTAATTAAAAAACAAATATTTGATGGAAGTTGAGTCTCTGAAGGCACACAGGTGTTTGTGCCAAGCAGGAGCTCTCTCTAAAGCACTTGTTGGTAAAAATGAATCCATTCAGTGTGACTGGACCTTCATGTTCTCTACCTGATCTCCCCTCATGGCTTTTTTTTACCAATGTTACACTACAGTGCTATTGATCCGTATCCATCCCCTCCCTGCTCAGCATGACCTCCATGACTGTTAGTAATAAAATATGCGTTCCTGTGGGTCACTTTGGGTCGATAAACCTTTTGGAGAGTGTGCGCACGGCAGCATCATCATCACAGTGGAGCTTCATCACAGCTTAATCTGTAGGAGTTGTGCGGGACTGTGGGTGTTCAGAGGATGTGAAATGGCCCTGCCCCTATAATCTGAGCTTTGTCTTGAACTAGAAGAGCTAATCTGCCTATGGGGACCTCTTAGAATAGACACAACAGTCTATTCAACCAAGGCTGCTACTAAACGAGATGCACAGATGTGGCCACACATCATTCTCCATATGTGATCCTCTCGGGCACCTGCTTCAGGCACTTGTAGCATCAAATTAATCCAAATTAATATAAATTTTATATAAAATATGATGTCCAAATCACGGACAAGCAGCATCCCACCGCTGTTTATGTTTTTAAACCGATTTTGCACAGAGAAGCATTTTTTGAAAACTGTATTGATTAGGGCTGTTCGATATAACGATATTGTCACGGCCAGGCGGATCAGCTGCACACTGATCAGCCCTCTCTGTTTCTCTTCCTCTTCTCTCTCGCCGGGGCGGAACTCACTGTGGGTTCACGCCCTCAGCCCACGCCCTCGGGAAATGAGACACCTGGGTCTCATTAAGGGGAGCAGCATTTAAGCCAGGAGGTGACTGCTGTTCGTCGCTGGATCGTTGTCTACCACGCGTTAGTGAAGTCAAGCTACAGTAAGTTTAGTTAAGAGTGTTTTCCTTTGTGCGTCGTTCTTAACCCTGTCTCCCTGTCTACAGAGCTTCCTGGATTTCCCCCGTGTGATTCCCGTGTGGTAGTGTCGGAGTGTGAGCCTGTGATCGTGTGAGTGGATACTCTGAAGAACGCGTGCTTTCCCCTGGACTTCCCTGGAGACCCCTTCTCCCCCCACTCAGCTGTACATAACACCCCCCCCCGCACATTCTTGTATATACACTCCACACTGACTCCAAGATGGCGCGGCCACGTCCAGACGCCTTCCTGACCGCTCCGCTCCGACTACGTGACATGAGGGACTGCAACATTCTGTGCTTCACGGAGACATGGCTGTCCCCCACCGTGCCGGACCAGGCCGTAACTCCGTCGGATTCATTCTTTGTGCTCCGCGCGGACAGAACGGCAGAGTCGAACAAAACCAAAGGTGGAGGAGTGTGTTTCATGGTAAACAGAAAGTGGTGTGATGCCAGGAGCATTTCTACTCTCTCCAGCGGCTGCTCGCCACATCTGGAGTTCCTGAGCATTAAGTGCCGCCCTTTCTATCTGCCCCGTGAGTTCACCTCAGTCATCGCCACGGTGGTCTACATCCCACCCCAAGCGGACACAGGTATGGCTTTGTCCGAATTACATGATGTGCTGAGCTCGCTTCAAAACAAGGACCCGGGCGCAGCCCTCATTGTAGCAGGAGACTTTAACAAAGCGAACCTCAGACAAGTCATGCCAAACTTTTACCAGCATGTCTCGTGTCCAAGGAGAGGGGATCGGATTTTGGATCACTGCTACACGCCATACAAGCAGGGCTACAAAGCTGTCTCACACCCGGCTTTTGGGAAGTCTGACCACAACGCCATCTTCCTCATTCCCCAGTATAAACAAAGCATACGGAGGGAAGACGTGACCAAGAGGGAGGTAAAACGGTGGACTGCCCAATCAGAAGCTACGCTACAGGATGCACTCAACGACGTAGACTGGGACATGTTCAGAGCATGCGCAGTCGACATCAACGAGTTTACGGAAGTAGCAGTATGCTTCGTCAATATGCTAGCGGAGGAGATTATCCCCACTGCGAGAGTCACCACATTCCCAAACCAGAAACCGTGGATGGACAGATCAATCCGCACTGCAGTAAACGCCAGGACCGCCTCCTACAACGCGGGTCTCGCCACTGGCGATATGAGCGCCTACAAAGCGGCCTCATACGGCGTGCGGCGCGCGGTGAGAGATGCCAAACGCAGGTACCGGGAACGTGTGGAGTCCCGCTTCCACCAGGGCGACACACGGAGCATGTGGCACGGACTACGCACCATTACGGACTACAAAGCCAGGGACACTGCGCCGATCAACGCCGACTCTGCATTCACCAACGAGCTGAATCGGTTCTACGCCCGTTTCGAGGTTAGCCAGGCGGCTAATGCTATCTACCGCCTGGCTACCGAGGACAGTGACGTCATCAGCGAGAGACCAGTGACCAGCATCGCGGAGCATGACGTCCGAGCGGCACTGAGGAGAGTGAACACAAGGAAAGCGGCGGGGCCAGACGGCATCACCGGCCGTCTGCTGCGCTGCTGTGCTGACCAGCTAGCAGGTGTGTTCACTTACATCTTCAACGAGTCCCTGGCGAAGTCTGTGGTCCCCACATGCTTCAAAAGATCCACCATCATCCCTGTGCCCAAGAACAGCAAACCCTCATCCCTGAACGATTACCGGCCAGTTGCACTGACCTCGGTAGTAATGAAGGTGTTTGAGAGGCTGCTGAAGAACATCATCTCCTCCTCCATCCCAGACACCACAGATCCGCTGCAGTTCGCCTACAGATCCAACAGATCCACAGAGGATGCCATCGCCCACGTCCTACACACCACTCTCAGCCACGTGGACAAGAAACAGGGTAACTATGTGCGAATGCTGTTTGTTGATTACAGTTCAGCGTTTAACACAATAGTGCCCTGCAGACTGTGATATTATTCTGTTATTATATGTTACCTTATATATGTAATCAAAGTAGTTGAATTAGAATACTGCTGTAGATCATATTATACCCTTTAAAATAGAGTGTGTGAGCTGTATGTAGTTTAGTTCTCATTATACTTTTGAGTTAACAGAACATATTCACATATTAGTTCATTAGATAAATGTGCATCACTCTGTATCCTTGATCTGCTGGGAATGTGTTACACTGTTTTCTTGACATGCTTAATTGTTGAATCATGAAGAGAAGGTTGTAAGCAGGAGACTCTGTGTCTAAAGACAGGGGAGATAGATAGACCACATTCCACACCCCCACCTTACAGAAAGCAGAGAAACAACTGCCGAGGTCATAACTTAGGCGCTGTAACAGAGAAAAAATGTGATGTTTTGGCTTTTACGACTAGCTGGGGGCCACTAGAGACTATAAAAAGCTGAGCAACCCGTCACCATTTTGAGACATGTGCCTGACCCTCTGGTAGCATCTCTCCCGTCCGGACGTTATAATGCTCTTAGTGTTGAATTGTATGGAAATAAATGATTGTTGATTGAGCATATATACACCGAGTAGTGTCCTTCCTTCAGCCCAAAGATTCAAAGAACTGCGTGTTTTCAACAAGACTGTTCACAAAGCTGAGGGATCTGGGTCTTAACAGCAGTCTGTGTGCATGGGTGTTGGACTTCCTCACTGGCAGAACTCAGGTGGTGAGGGTGGGCAGGTGCTTCTCCAACAGCATCACCATCAACACAGGAGCACCTCAGGGATGTGTCCTCTCGCCACTGCTCTACTCCCTCTACACTTCAGACTGTGTGGCCACCCATGGCTCCAACTCAATTGTGAAGTTTGCTGACGACACAGTGGTGTTGGGTGCCATCTCCAACAACGATGAGGCGGCCTACATGGATGAAGTGAAGAATCTGGCATCATGGTGCCAGGACAACCACCTCCAGCTGAACGTCAGCAAGACCAAGGAGCTGGTGGTGGACTTCAGAAGGGGTCAGCACAGAGACTACAAGCCCATTATCATCAATGGAGCTCCATTGGAGAGGGTGCAGTCCTTCAAGTATCTTGGTGTCCACATCTCCTCAGACCTGACATGGGCTGCCCACATTCAGGTCCAGACCAAAAAGGCTAGGCAGCGCCTGTATCACCTACGACAACTGAGGAAGTTCAGGGTCTCTCCAAAGATCCTCAGGATTTTCTATACAGGCGCTGTGGAGAGCATCCTCACACAGAACATGACATCGTGGTTTGGGAACAGCTGTGTGAAGGACCAAAAAGCTCTCCAGAGAGTGATCCGTACAACAGAACGCTGCTGCAGGATTGCTCTCCCCCCGCTTCAGGACACCTACACCAGGAGATGCCGGACTAGAGCAGCGCAGATACTGAAGGACCCGTCCCATCCTGGCAACAAACTGTTCCAACTTCTGCAATCTGGTAGAAGGTTCCGCATCTTCCAGGCAAGGACAGAGAGACTCAAGAGGAGCTTCTATCCCCAAGCCATCCGTGCCCTAAACACACACACCCGCCCTCTCACATCATCTATAATTGACTGAGACAGGACTCTTCCAGACACTAAACCAAGGCACAATGTACATTTCAATTCCTTTAATTTTAAATATGTCTATATTGTCTATCCTGTAAAATAGTCAGATTGTCTATTCATATTAATGTACAGAATTCACCTGCTTGCTGCTACTACTGCACATTCACCCAGTGTATATACTATATATATATATATATGTGTATAATGTTCTTCCTCTACACCCCCCCCAATTTTTGCACATGTCGAGGAGCGTGTCAGGCTACATTTCACTGTGTGTTATACTTGTATAACTATGCATGTGACAAATAATAAAGACCCTAGAACCTACACCTGGTGACTTGTAAATAAACCCTTCTTGTGAGCATCAGAACCGGAGTCCTGCGCTTGAGTCCTCCTCCAAACCGTAACAGATATATATCGGATGACGATATAAAAACATCTATCGTTTCATTTTACGCTATTGTTTGTTTCGTGGTGTCGCAAAATAAACTGTTTACGGCTGTTTTTCATGGTTTGATGGTCACTGTAGTGTTTATATTAATTTCTTAAAGTTCTCTCTTTCTCTTATATTTAATATAACCACACTACGGACACACAAGCGCCTGTTTTTATGCGTTGTCGTTAGCAACAACGACGGTAAAACCATCGCGTGTCCGCTTGTTTATGTTCCACATAAACCTTTCACAATAAAGCTCAAGATCCTGTTGAGACTTTTCAAAATAAACTGAATCACGTGAAAGATGCAGAGTGTTTACGGATGAGAAGCAAAAAATAAAGCTTAGACTCAAACGTTAGAACAGGCTTTTCCCCGCAGCACGCCATGGAATATATATACTCACAAAGAAAACGGCGGCCGTTGCAACTTCTGTCTAAAAATGTATCGTTTCAATTAAAACACTTGACTCCAGCTACACGACGCCCAGCTGGAAACACTTCACGCAAGTCGAGCTGCCCGAGATTCACAGAATTTACAGAAAATGTTACATTTTTGCAGGAGCGATTCTAGGATCAGAGCTTTGGGGGTGCTGAGCACCCAGAGAGCTGCCCAGCCAGCCAAGATACACTTTACTCGTCACAATGAGACTTCTTCCCCGTCTCTGTCGGTCCCTGCATCCTCCCTGTCCTCATCGTCTGTTGTCTTCGTCTCCTTTATCAGTCATCATAATTTTACCATCTCTGTGCAAGTCTGAAAATTTCTTTATTAAATCATAAGATTCTTAAATTCCTCGTCACAAAACATGACATCACTGTTTTGTACATTTTAACAATTTAATCCCCACATTTGTGAAAGAAAAGCAAAACACTTTTTTGAAAAGTCTGTAACAAAACCTGATCAAGGTTATTTAAATGCTGCAAAAGAAGAATGGATTGGAATAAAAAAAATACATATCCAAACCTTAATTACTGGAGGAGAATAATGAGTGATGCTCATAGTGAGTAAAAAGTAAACTGAGTGCATTTTTTGGACAGAAATTCACTTTTAATATGTATGTATAATATAATACAGATGCATAAAAAACACTCCCGAAACACAATAAATTATTACAAAATATAAAAAAAAGAATATAAAAATGGAGACAACTTTGCCTGTAGTAGAATGTATACAATGCATGAAAAAATCTTTATTGCAGATACTAATTTTGTGTTGTAAGATTTATGAGTTTCATGCTTTCATAGTGGTCCTTGGGAGAGCTTGACATTTTTATCAGGTGGTACACAATGTAAAAAGTTTGAGAAACACTGATAAGTGTATGTGTGCTTTTGGAAAACGTTTAAAGCTGCAGTACAGAATCTTTGAAACCAGCTTAAAACATTTTTAGAATATAA